AGCATTCTTTGCAACGAATTATACTAGTCTATCACACAGACTATGGAAAAATTTTTAAATATATACCTGTTTTGATTTTTTTGTTGTTATAATTTAAGGAAGACTTGTGTAGGTGAAATTGGGTCCTCTGTTATTTAGAAGTCATGAACAAAATTGTATAGAATTAAAGTGAAATTCAAGGGGGCAAGGGCAAGTGGTGGGGGGAAGGCAGAGACAAATGTATTTGAAAAAATAAATTAATTAAAAAAATAAAGTGAAATTCAGATTCTGAAGTTAAAATCTGCCTACGTTATATGACTTTGGGTACTTTGGGGCCTTAATTTATCAGTAGCACAAATAGTATTAATAATATTAACTAAACTGACAATGTTATAAAGTGAATATAAGTAACTCATTAGTTAGTTGGAATGATGTTTTGGGTCCTTAGTTAAAATAACACTGACATTTATTCTTATTACAGTTATTATTTTTCTGATTCATCTTGTATCATTCATATACAAGACTTTTAATTATTTATATAAAGGTTGATGTTAAACATGAACAAATACAAAATATTGTCAGATTACAAAGGAAAGAAGCACAGACTTTTTTTTCTTCATACATATTATCCTGCTCACTCATCAGAGTAACCTAAAGCCTCAGTTGTTTTATCTCTATGTGTATGAGGCTTCTGATAGTAAGTAGTTTGTTCAAGGTAATAACTACGAAATTAGAGTGACAAGGTTAAATTCATGTCCGTATATGCTGACTACCTTTAAAGTTCTCTTACTACTATACATAATTTACCTCCATTGTCATAATTTTCTGTCACCTTGACATTTCAACATATCTTAAGATAGTATGGTGTAACAACCTTCTAATTCCCCAGTTCTGACTTTCTGAGCTTATACTCAAGATTTTAGAGCAAGTGGTTGAAGAGCCAGAGTCCCAAAAACTGTGCAGTGAGCAGCATGATACAGTTTATAGTTTATAATCTAAATCCATTGTAGAAGAGGAGGATAATTTAAGAGATTCATTTATTCAATCAACACGGTAATTGTTTATCCGCTCTATGGCAGACATTCTTTTGAAGGAACTGGGATACATTGGTAATCAGAGGCAATAAAACAACTTGTTCTCTTGGAGTGTATTTCTAGTGGAGGGCACAGCCAATAAATAAGTATCAACAAAATATATAATTTAGGTAAGCGCTAAGGAGAAAAACAGTTCAGGAGAAGTCATAGAAATAGAATGGGGGGAGATGTTTGCAATTTTAAATAGGGTGAATCAAGAAAAACCCTCCGTGAGAAGGTGACCTGACTTTGAATAAAGGACTGAAGGAAGATAGTAGGTAAGCCATGCAGATGTCTTTCGGAAGAGCATTCTAGGCCAAGGGCACATCAACTACAAAAACTCTGAGGCTGGAATGCCCTTGACATATTCAGAGAACAGGAAGGCCAACTGGGGTAGAAAGAAGTGAATAAGGGGGAGAACAGGAAATGGTGCCCTGGGGTATATATCTTATAGTACCTCTCTGACCTTTGTAAAGACCTTTTTTTTTTTTTTTACTTCTATTGAGATGGATAGGAGACATTGGATGCTTTCATCAATGAGTTATATGACATACTTTAAAAAAAACACTTTCTGTTTTGATGAATTTAGAGGGGGGACATGAGGGTCAAAGTAGGAAGATCAATTAAGAAAGTAGCTATTAAGAAAAATCAGGTGGCTTAAACTAATTTGGTGTATTTGAGGTGATGAGAGGCTGCCAGAATCAGAAGGCAGGACCTACAGGATTTCCTGATGTATTGATCATAGTGTGTGAAAAAGAAGACTCAATATGACCCCTAAGTTTTGGGCCAGGACATCTCAAAGGATGAAGTTGCTATTTACTGAAATGGAGAAAACAGAGGGAAGAGCAGATTTGGGAGGGTGGGGAGTAGAGAGATAGGATAGGATGAGGGGTTCAGTTTTGGGCCTGTAATCTTTGATACCTTTTTAAACATTTGAGATTAAATGAATGCTAAAGGCATTCTGACATAAGAGGGTTCAACTCTAAGGCAATTTAGAATTGGACTTATCATAACCATTCAGAAACAAATATTTATTAAGCACTTTTTATGTGTCAAGCCTAGTACTATGTGGTGGACTATATTACCAAGGTATAAGATTTAATAGATCTCAAGGCACATAATGGCATATAATTCATGTAATATGTGGCTGAGTTACATACTGCTCACCAATATGGAACCTTGGAAATAGGAATTCTTAGTCCATGACCACATTGTTATACCTATACCTAGGAGTTTTATTAAATCAGGAATCTTCTTGTAGGGGGTTTGGTGGTTTTCATGGCTTGGTCCCTCGGAAGTTCTCATGTGGTAGAGGTGGATGATTATAAAGAAGGCTATAATCGCAGCTCTTATTGGTGTTTCATCTCCATTGTTCTTTTCCTTTCATGTTGCTGATAAAATTCTAGTTGTGGGTTGTATTCAATGAGTGCCACTGTCACAGTAGAATGTACATAAGATGCTGGTACTGATGTTGTCTGAGCTAGACAGTCATATCTGAAAGGTGAATTGATCACCAGACTTTTTCTTTGAGTGCTATGTACTTTTTGTACTGCTGTTTTGACATCTGACATTCTTCTCTTAATAACTCTGCATGGGGTTTTTGAAGGACCTGCAAAGGCATTACGAAAAATAAATACATTTCTAATAAGGTAACTACGCAGAGAAGTGCAGGATTTTTTGCTTCTTTTTTTTTCTTTCCTTTGGTATTTTAGGTCTTTGGGATACATTTGAGAATGTATTATGCCTGCGATTTTTCCCATTACGGAAGACTGCTGTGCTGAAGGCTGGTGCTTGATACTCAATCACAGCATCTTTCCTTTGAGTCAAAGCAGAGAGCAAATAGCCCTCTGTTCAGGGAACCAGGTAGCACTAACCACTCTCCACTCTCAAATAGTAAAAGTAATTTAAGCTATCAGAGACCCAACATTACTTTAGTAGTATCCCCTGGAGAACAAAGCTGTTAAAGCAAAATTTTATATGGTTTTCTTTCATGATTTCAGCTCCTTCTGAGAAATGTATCTGGAGTTATGCAGGCATATTTCAAAACTGCTTCATTGACAGTGTTCTAGCAGTTTTTTTTTAATCAAATAACAGCTGTGAAGTCATATCTGGCAATATGAGAAGTGCTACGATTCAAGTTACAGCCTGGTACCTCAGTTGTAAGAAGAATTTTCACATTCAGAGTAATCTTTATATGTGTTTTATATAAAACATAAAAATGTAACATTTGAATGAAAACAAAAAAAATGAAAGACCTGGATGTTTATGTATTTTTAGGGAAAGTCAGCATTGTAGAAAACAACTAAATGTAGTCATTCCCATCCTAAATTAAAAATCAGTGTTTATCATCTACATAGCTGAAAAAGGTGTCAACTAGAAACATATCTTTTTGCTTTCTACTAATTTCCCATGCATATGTTATACTTTTAGTATTTAGGCACATGTCCATAAAAATCAGTGTCATTGATTTATGTCTTTTAATATTTTACATGGATAGTATCGTGTTATACAGATCTTTTTTTATTAGAAAAATAATAAAATATTTTATTAGGCCCTGAGCAGTGAGACTCAGTTGTTCGGCTGTTGTCCCACAAAGCAGAAAGTTGCTGGTTCAGTTCCTGGTCAGGGCACGTGCCTCGGTAGCGGTTCTTTCCCCTGCCGGGGTGTGCACAAGAGGGAATAGTCAATGTTTCTCACATCTATGCTTCTCTCCCTCTCTTTCTATTTCTCTCTCTCTAAAAATAAATAGATAAAATCTTTTTTTATTAGCCTTTTGAGAAGTACCCATGTTTATGACTACAGATATCTAGAACACTGATTTTTTTCTACTCTTTAGAATAAATTAATCATTATTTGTTGATTCATTCCCCTAGCAATGGAAGTTAGGTGTTCAGTTCCTTTTAAGAAACCTAGAAAGAAAAGAGGAATTGACAGGTATGGCTAATGTCACAGCTCTGCTCCAGCATCTTGGCACACTGATGTGTAGGCCCGCTGTAAATTCTAAAGCTTCACAGAAGTGGCTTTGAGCGGAGGCAGACTACTAGAGGGTTGAAATAGGGTTCTCAATCTTAGAACAAGGGCAGAAATGAGATAGTGGACAGACCAAGGAACATGGCAGGCATGCCGATCACAGGACTAATTTAATAAAGAAAAAAATGCAATTTCACACAGAAGTTTTCTTGAGCTTTTACCTATTCTTAGTTCTACCATCTGTCTTATGCTGTTATTGGTATAGTAATTCTAAATGCTTATTCTCAGTCTGTGTATAACAAGGCTTTACTCAGGCAAAACACTTCAAGGTTCAAACTTCCTGATCTCCTGAAACCATTCAATAGGAATATAAATCAAGGAATATCCTCATTCTTTTAGAGCTTACACTAAATAAATGGTACGAATACATGTGGCTATTGATCAGAATTACCTGGGTATCTTTAGAAAAATACATACTTTTATAACTCAATTTTGAAAACTCCCATAAAGTATTTATAGGACAAAGGAATTATATTTTTATAACAATCCCCAGTGATTCAAAAAGCATTTCAGCTGACATACTACTATACTAAGTGTATAGCTTAATTTTTAAATACTTGCCATAATAGGACTCATCAAAAAAAAAATAGCCTAAAAGTGATCTTAGTGTGTGATCACTAAGATCTTTTTTTGAAATCTTTGTCCAGAATTAGGTTGATTTGCATCAACTACTTATATTCTGAAAATGTACGTAGTATTGGCATCCCTGAACATCAAACTGATTGATGTACACCTCAGAGAAAAGATAAAATATTTTAACCTGTGGACTAGATAACCCAAATAATTATCTTATTCATTGTGTATGTGAGGAATATTTAGTATATTATTAAAATTACACTTCATTAATCCAGGCCCTTGTAACTCTTCATAATTGCTTATGCATTCTTGCAGCTAATGGCTTTTCTGTTGTGTTTCCAGCACAGTGATGCAGTCCATGATCTTCTTCTGGATGTGATCACATGGGTTGGAATTTTGCTGTCCCTTGTTTGTCTCCTGATTTGCATCTTCACATTTTGCTTTTTCCGCGGGCTCCAAAGTGACCGTAACACCATCCACAAGAACCTCTGCATCAGCCTCTTTGTAGCAGAACTGCTTTTTCTGATTGGGATCAACCGAACTGACCAGCCAGTAAGCAACTTATATTGATATGAGTAAAGAATTTCTCCACTTCCAGCTGTGCACTACTGGGAATACTCAAGTTTGAAAATACTCTCCCTTTCAGTTATCTAAGATTGATAATAACTTTCAGCTCTTACTCAGTTTCCCCCTTTTCATGGCCCATTGTCATAAAGCAGCAGCAAATGCTATGGACATATGAATGCATATTTCTTCAGACATTTGTTTATAAATCTGTCTTTTTAAGGAATTGTGTCCCTTTATTAGCTTTTCCCTCCTTTTACAAAAACTACAGAGCTGAATATTAAGAAAGTTAAATAAAATATTTTTGGGGAGTGGAGTAGTATTTTTTTTCTAATAGATACAATTGTTATTTTTTGAAGTTTTTAATACATTTTGTTTAAAAATGGTGGATGTTATATTAAAAACTGTATGCCTAACTAAGTTTTTCTAGTTAACATATTCTGGAAAACAGTTCAAACTGTAGGTAATTTTTTGAATATATAACTTCCAAATTTTGTTTGGCACTTTATATTTGCTCAAGTTCTGTTCACAGCTTTAAGTGCCAACTTCATACTATTGATACCTACATTTAATCATATTAAGAAAGAAAGGAAGTGAGAGAGCGGGGAATAGGTAGAGGGAGGGAGAGAAAAAAAAAACAGTCTTGGCCAATTGTTCTTGGTAAAATGAAACCCAAAATATGAATAATAGGTAATAGCTAATATTTTACACAGACTATGCCCAATTATAACTTTGTGAGATCCTTGGTATTTACTTAAGATTCAAGTAATAGTAAAGTTTGTTGTCATGTCTAAAACTACAAATGAAAACATCCTTTCTTAAAAAACTCATAGTAAGCATAATAAATAATTCACTTAATGCTATTTTCTAGTATGTGTCCATATATATGGAGTACTTTACAATAAAAATGCAGTTGGATTTGTGTTTGTGATTGTACATTCATGATTAATGGCTGTAAAAGCCACAATTAAGCTGATTATGCTTTTAATTGGTTATCATATACAAATGTGACAGAAAGCTTTTTCTGTAAACACATAAATATGAATAAGTACACATTTCTTTTGCCCCAAATATAGAACTTTCTGATAAAAATTGATAGTTGAAATTCTGACTCTAAACACCAGGAAATGGAAAACTCTTTTATGTGTCAGAAAGAAATCACTTTATTTTCTTCTTAATTTTTGATTCAAACGGCATGCTCTTTCTTTGCATTTAGCAACCTTATTCTTATTTTTGTTTCCCGATGTTCCATAAAGTACAACAAATTCCACTAAATGTTGCATACCGCACAAAACTAATTTCTGACAAGAGCATCAACATCAATGTTTGACATGAAGTCCTTGGGTAGGGTGCAGCCAGCCCAACTTGTCTTCAATCTCACTGCTGGACAGCCGTCCCCTTCTGTGTCACATGGGAGGCAGGTGCTGCTCTCCCTCTGGCCCGCTCACATTGGACTTCCTCATCTCCCCCTCACTGTCACCTCTCAGAAGCCAAAGAAATTGACCTCTTTGGTCTTGTTTATCAAGGATCACATGCATCATTGTATCTGTGCTCACCTGCTAATTTCTACAAATTTTTCACCCCTTCCTGGTAGGAGCTATAGATTTTAGTTAGGACTTTTTATTAGAAATGAAGGCTCACCCCCCAAAAGGAGTGAAAATTTTAGGAACCGACATGAGAAAATTAATATATGGGCAGCTGAAACTTGTAGTACATTATAAAATACTCCAAAGAAAATAGTTCAAACTGTTTTAAACTATTGGCTGCCTTTTTTTGCCAGGCTTGCCTAGAACAACCTTTAGTACAATAACAAAAAATTGAGAGAGAAAGCACTTCTAGAACATTTTCTTTTAATCAGATCTAATTTTGTTGTTGTTGTAGTTCAACTACGGTTGTCTCCATTTTCCCCCACAGTGCCCCGCCCCCCCACTTAGGTGTATGTAGTTTTCTTTTCCCAATGCTTCCTTATATCCTGTCTGAAACAAAACAGGGAATAAATAAATTAGAATTAATAATAATGGATTAATCATCTATTATAAAAATATGTAATTAATTACTTTATTTTGAGAACCTTTCTCCTTTTTAAAAATATTTTTCTTTTATTTAATAATAATATACTAGTACACACATGATTATGGTCAAGAAAGAATAAATCCTGAGATCTATTTTAAAAATCTTTCAACTAATCCCATCAATAATTATCAGTAGGCTCTTAGAACTTTTTCCTAAATGTTAACAATTTTTATAACAATGTCATCAGCCATTACTAATAAAATGTTAAATATAATTTTCAAAGACAGATTACATTTAAATGTTTTAATATCTGAATTTTAAGAATCTCATGCAGATTATTCTTTTGCAGTTCTATATTTTTACTGCAGTCTTCATAAATATTTATTTTAAGTATACGGCGATTGATACTATTTCATTGAGTAGTTTGACTAAATCGCTGTCCCTTTCCCTAGATCGCCTGTGCGGTCTTTGCTGCTCTCTTACATTTCTTCTTCCTGGCCGCCTTCACCTGGATGTTCCTGGAGGGCGTGCAGCTCTATATCATGCTGGTGGAGGTGTTTGAGAGTGAACATTCACGCAGGAAATATTTTTACCTGGTCGGCTATGGGATGCCTGCGCTCATCGTGGCGGTGTCGGCTGCGGTAGACTACAGGAGCTACGGGACAGATAAAGTGTGAGTTGATGTTTTCTTTCTTTTTTTCTCACTTTTAAATCTACTTGAAATAAAAGCTTAGAATTTTCTTGGAAGCTAAGGTCTTTCTATCCCTTCACAGTAATAAATGAAGGAACTGGAGAACCAAATGGGGTAATTCAAGTTATGGTTGCCCTTTTGTTATGTAAAAAGAAAAAATAAAAAAAGCCCTGAGACTCGGTGTGAAGCTGTTTTCAAACAGCATACTTTTTCATTATCTAAATCATAACCTTGAGTAATTAGAAAGAGATGATTATTTTAATATTTTTCAGGGCATTGAGATATGTCAAATGAAGAACTGATTGTATTAAAAACTGTGTTTCAGAGGACGGTGCAGTCCCTGACACTAATGACTTCTCTCCTTCCAGACAAGTCAGTTCTAGTCACTGGAGAGATAATTATGTCATTATCAGAAAGAAAAGAGCATGGGGAGTTTGTGTTTTTCCTTTTTTTTCCCAGGTGGGTATGGAGGTAGAGCGGTGAATTTCATTTTCAGTATAACTTGAAATTGGTGAGACACATATGTAGAGATGCTCAGCATACTGTTAAGGAGCTCCGTGAAAAATTGTTCTGTAATCCACATCAATATAACAGTTGGCATCCTGAGAATGAATAAAAGTTTCAATAGGAAAAGATTAAAAGGGTGACTAAGATAGATCTCTGAAGAATACCCACACGGAGGACATAGATTGAGGGTTGAAAATTGAAAATAAAAATAGGAAAGAGAACAGGTGACCAGAGCCCTAGAAAGAAAACTACCAGATTGGGGTCAGGGAAAGTGAGCAGAAAGTTTCAAGATGGTGTTTCAAAACCATAGTGCTTTTTTGTCAAAGATAACTCAAATAGGGTAAGCACTGAGGAAAAATCATTTGACCTTTGCAACAACTATTTTGATAAAGTGCTGGAAGCAAAGGCCAAATTGGAATGTGTGAGAGGAGATAAGTCAGTAAAAAGTAGTCTTCAGGTATTATCTATACCCTGAGGAAGTTTGATCAGGGGATAGTGAAAATATTAACTCAAGTGATAACAGTAATAAAGAAGGATTTAAAAAAAAATGAAGCCTTGAATTTGTCTAGTGTGACAAGCATCAAGCTGATTGCTGGAGAATCCTGCAGATAAAAATGCCTCATTTGTTACATATATACATACTACATACATATATAGATGGTTCCAAAAGGGTAGAAAGGCCTAAGATTGGATATAAGATGAGGAAAACTTTGATTTAGTACTAAAGTGTCTTTAGTATTCACCAACTCCAGATAAATTGCCTTCCCTATGATGTAGAGCTAGAGAGTGGCAGACTTGTGATAAAACAAACCATGTTTATTTCCACCAAACTATAATGTTTTTGAGATGGTAAAATATCCCCTCTCTCCTGAGGTGAGTGTAGAGAGAATACACACAAGCTGAGGCAAAAGTGGGTTTACAGTTGTGAGTCCATGAAACAATTTACTTTTGCATTATTATTTCTTAGTTATTATATTATTATTTTCCATGCAAAGAACTGTAAACATACTTTGCCTCACCTGTAAGGTAAATTTCCAAGTGGAAGAACTTTTCAATCAAGGAGGAAATGCGGGCTTTTGCTGAATAATCAGGTGGGGGTCATCTGGAAAGCACAGGAGATTTGAAAGCTTTGAAATGAGCATTGTAGGAAATGTGTTAAGGAGCTAATCAGACATTAAGAAAAAGGTGTCTAAGCAGTAGTGAAGGCTCAGATGAGGTTAGGTAACTTCCATTTGTCCGGGAGTTAATAAGCCAAATTTCATGACTTTCCACCATCAATCAGCAGCCAGAATATGCTGGTGATGAAGCAGCTCACTTCCCAGAACATTCTTAAGGAGAAAACAAGAAGAGGATCCCAGAGTTATTGGAAGGATAGTTAAAGTAGAATATATTTTGGCGCAGGGAGACCAAGAGCACAATTAAAAGACCATTTCATTTCTTTTGAATATTCTTCTTGAGTCCAGTGACAGGCTGTAGAAAGCCCTTTCTCTAAATGAAACTAATAGTAATTGTTCCTTAATCTAACTTTGTGAATTGTGGTTCATTTTGTGGATTCCACTGACAACTGTGGAACATTAGGAATATATAAAAAATTATCTGGTATTGCCTCTAAAGACATTTTAAAGAAGGGGTATTAGATAGATCAAAGGATTTTTACAAGTAACATCTTTGTTGATATAATTCACATACTATAAAATTCATTCTTCAGTCATTTTTAGAACATTCACTGTATTAGGCACCCATCACTGCTATCTAATTTTAGAACATTTTCATCACCCCAAAAAGAAACCCATTAACAATAATTCTCTTTAGATCGTAAGATTTTACATTTCAATCAAAGCATTTCCTCTTTAAGATATTAAATTGAATGACATACTTATTTGTGACCTTATGCTATTTCAAATTCTGTAGTAAGTAGTTCAGTTTCGCTGTTTTGCAGTTCCTGATTTGCTTTTATTTGTATTTTATGTTGATATTTTTCTCTTTGAATATTTGCAAATTTTCCTGTTAGGGAGCTGACTTGATTTGTTTGCTTTGTGTTTTAGTCATTTATTTTGAGACAGATGTCATTTTCTGGATAGTAAGAATCTATCTTTTCTTAGAATCAATAATGCGTAGTTCCCTTGCGACTTTGTTAAAGCTTTGGCCACCATTGCTTTAATTTCCTGCACCATAACTGGAAGCTCTCATTTACTGACATTATTACTTTGTGGGAACAGAGGCTAATTTATTTCCCAGGCACTGATTTAAAAAAATACAAAAAGCTTTAATAATAGTTTACTTTCACAATCATGATTTTTCCCAACTCAAAGAGAAGTAAAACAGATAAAGACAAAAGGGACGGTAGAGGAAAGTAAAGGACAGGGACAATTGCATTAAAATTCTATCACAGCCCTGGTTGGGTAGCTCAGTTGGTTACAACATCATCCTGATATGCCAAAGTTGTAGGCTCAATCCTTGGTCAGTGCACATATAAGAATCAACCAGTAAATGCATAAATAAGTAGAACAACAAATCCATGTTTCTTTCTCTCTTTCTCTTTCTCAAATTAATAACATTTTAAAAAGTATTTAAAACTTCTATTACAGATGAGCATAGAACATTTAATTTCTTGTTTATATGTTTTAAATAAATTGTCCACATATGGGCATTTAGAAAACATGGGAAAAAACATTTTTTTACTCTACGAGAATTCATTTAATAGAATGGCCATACACTGCTGTGTTGCCCATTGAGAAAACAGGTATTAAAAAAAAAGAAATCTTATTCAATCATTTTTATTTACTTGAGAACCTGAAATGAGAAGATCATGTTCCATCAGGAGTTTAATCAAGATGTCTTCCCAAAGAAAAATGTAAGCAATGCATTTTTATACAACTTGAAGGATGTATGCATATATACATCCTTCAAGTTGGCTTATAGATATATATAGAGAGAGAGAGAGAGTACCTTATTATTGAATTTCTTTGTTGTTCCGCTTCTGTTTATTTCAAATGGCATTTCCCACTTCCTGTTCATTCACCACCACATGATTTGTTAAACATAACTTTACTATCTCAAGGTTTCGGGGTTTTTGGGTTTTTTTGTTTGTTTTTTGCCAGTGTTCTTATGTGCTACATTGAATTTTTAATACAAATATGTAAATGTCACAGTCTTAAATAAACTGGACTTAGCAAGAATTCAGACACATATTATCAGCCATTTTCTGTAAATTCTTCTTAAGATCAATGAATTTTATGCCTTGGAAGTCTCTTTCATTTATTTCTGGAACTTCATTATTACTAAATGTATACTTCTCAGTCTCAAACACTTAGAATGCATATAGATTAAAACCATTCAATATACAGTACAGCAACCCAAATAATAGATATGGCTCCCCTTTTTTTCCTCTTAATTTATGTGGTTGTATTTTATTACACTGACAATGAGGTTTTATCTCTGAAACCTTTAATAATAGTAATAGCTTACATTTCTAGTAGAAAAATCATATCAATGATAGGAGATAAAATTGTTTTGGTAGGTTAAATATTTTTTGGTATAGATAGTGGTAACTATCATATTCCATGTGGCTGATGGATTAGGATGTGTTTTACTATAAAATGTTATTAGGGATATTAAATTGATTATTATGTACAAAACACGCACTTGCATACAAAGCACACTTAATGTGATTTTGAGAAGTTGCTCAGTTTGCCATCAATTTGCAGAGCTTCTAAGAGAGTCCTTCTGTTATTTTCAGTTGTTACTTAATGACATCTTTTTTAAATCTGTACAGACACTATTATTGAGACTGTACTTAACACTTAGTCACAATAATCAGACATTTACAGAATTCGATTGAAAGATCCGTTGAATCATTTAAAAAATAATAACTCCCAGTAAGTGGACCACAGGTCTAAATTACACTGTTAACAATCGGCATTTATTCCATTATATCTATTTGTACATCTTTCCTTAGTTTCATTTACATCATTACATATGGCCATTTAGTGAAGCCACCTAATATGATACTGCCAAAAGATAAAGGTAGGCATTGACTTTCTAATGATTCAGGCAGGACAGATTTGGAAATTCAGTGCTAAATACTTTGATTGCATGACCTGAAACTAATCTGTTTGTTTAAACTTTAATTACCTCAATATTACCCCAAAATGCAAACAGTTTGCACAACTAATATTTTTTAAAGGAAAAAAACACATTTATAGTTTATAACACTTATATTACCTACATATATAACTGAAAGAACAGTGATTTGTGTGATGGGTAGATTGGAAAAGGATTGGAAGTTGGCTTCAAGAGGAAAGAGCATGTTAGGAAGGAGCAAAGCCCAGGGAATAGCCAGAGAGTTCAAGCATATCCCCAGAAACTGGTAAGGGGTTTCTGAAAGATGTTGATTAGATCATGAGCATTTATAATGGATCAGAACATCCTTGAGTACTAAAAGCATAGCCAAGCTCTTAAAAATAATTGAAATC